GCATGCCTGCCAGCCTCCAATCTTGGGATTTTAGTGAAGATTCTCTCTCCCTCTCTCTTCCTGCCTGCCTTTCACAGATATGGAAGATTCATTCTCAGGGAGAATTCAAGATATGGAGATTTTTAGCAGTTGACCATTACCCTTCTTTGTATCCCTGGATATTGTGGTTGGTCTCACTTTTTATGTCTTTGTAAAACTGAAATCTATACTTTCAATCTCCTCCTTTCACAACTTCCTTTGCCTATAGCATTGGGCTCACACGCCATAGCCTGGCTTCAGTTGACCTCTCCAGATGCATCTTTGGGCATCAACCCCATGTTCTGGTTCCAAAGACTTCTCTTTCAGTGACCAGGTTAATACTTTTCCACATTTGTGAGCTTTCACCCAGGCACCTCCAGCTTCTCACTGTGTAGGCTCCTAAGCATCCTAGGTACCCACACCTCGAATGTTCCCTCCTTTGTGCACTGAGCTTCAGGGGTGCATAGGTGGCTCTCAGTGTAGGCAGCAGACTGATTCAGACAGAAGCATTGCAAGGATCAATTTGGTGTAAATGTTGAAAGGTGTAGGATTGCTATTCAGCTTATTTCCTTCCTAAGAAAATAACAAATTTGTATACACTGCTAAGACTATCTCCATGAAAATAAATTTAGAAAAATTTCATACCTACTTATTTTCTATTTTACTGGGCTTTAGACAAAAATAACTTTTTCATTTAACAGAAATGTAAATGGGTTCTTTCTGGAAAGAACTCCCTCTTTAATGGAAATGTCAGAAAAAATGAATCAAAGTCTATAAACAACATTAGCAAGATGTGAAGATTTAACCTTTTTTCTCAATCAGATGTTGCTGATTTAATGGATTTCCAAACAGTGCATGTAAAAACAAAGAAAAAACCATGATGCAGAAAACCGGTAACTTCCCAAATTGGAGATAATCCTGTAACAGTCATTGATATCTAATGTAAAGTATTATTTTTTTCTTTAGAAAAGAGTTACTTGCCGTCACTTATTCCCAATTTAGGTAGTTATTAAGGTATAAAGAGTTTTATAATATTTTAAAATACTATTAATTTAGCTTAGTGGCTTTCATATATTTTTGACCATACTCTATAATAAGACATGCATTTTCATTGTGCCTATAATACCTACCTTTACTTACGTGTGATGCACTATGATATTTTCTCTTCCATTTTATATGTTGGTTGTGACTTAATTGAATTCATGACCCCCTAGTGGATGACAAGCTGCAGTTTGAAAACCTGTCTAGCCAGACAAAACCGCTAACCAATGTGGGAATCCTTTTCATAGTCTACCTGATAGAAGATCAGAAAATTGTGCTTGTGCGTATTCTGTGATGCTTCTGCTTTACTGGGAGCTTCTGTTGTGGAAGAATTCCTGCTAGAAATCAGAAACTACTTTCCTGTCATCTCCAAGAATTGGTACCAGTGCATGCTCCCTCCCTTCCTAATGCCCTTGCTAAGCAGCTACTCTGTGTTAGAAACTGTGGCACGTACTGCAGGTACAAACAGAATTAGGACCACACCTTGCTTTTCCAGGAGGTTTTATTCCAGCAGAGATTCTGCAGCTCAGAAATGGAGTTTAGGGTGGAGTGTTATTTTGTGAGACAATATAGAGTAAGACTCATTCCTTGTCCATATAACAGACTTTAGTATATGAAACTTCTGCTGTC